TATCTATGGGCACAATTTTTGTCAAGTTTTTAAATATTATATGATTTGACTTGATGTGAACCCTAATCTTTATATTTGCTTTCAGGCTTTTTGTGTCATCTTTTTTATAACAATTCCCACATGCTTTTCCCTTATGATTTTGCATGTATAATCTATATTTGAACTTAGATTCATCAAAATCTAACTCATTTCCTTATTTTTCATTTTGGTTGATAGGTAGGGTTTGGATTCCAAAAATTTTGTTTCCAATTTTAATGCTTCCAAACACATTTTCTCAATCTAGTCCTACACAATTTCATCTTTTAAATTCATTGAAAGCATCAAATTAACATAAATCAAACCCTAGCCTCATGATCATCCTTTGGCTAAAATATATACTCTTACGTCACAAGTTCGAATTCTTTTACAATTCTTGCATAACTACAAATTTCCCATCAATTACTTTAATTCCTAATTCAAATTCCATTCATTCAAGCTATGACTTATACCATTTTGGATAGCATATTATCTTAGGGTTTTTGGCCATCAAACTCCACCAATATTAAATTCAAATCAATCACTAATCAAGACAATTAAACTTTTGAGGGCCTGTTTGGTTTGAGTAAAGGGTGGGGAAGGGGGGAAAGGGTAGGGTGTATTAATTTACATCTTAATTTGAATTACATAATTTAATAAAAATGCAATATTGTTATATTAATATGTGTATTAAATGTAAAACCCTTAACCCACAAAACATTATAAACTTGTCATAAAATTCACTACTATGGTAGAAAAGGAAAGCTGTTACAACAAACTACCATAATAGAAAGAAATTGTATAACTTTAGAAATTAACATTTAAACTCGGTTCAAACTCGAATTTTGATGCATGCTACAAAAATCATTCATTAACAACCACTGGGTCTTCGAGCCTCCGGCCCGGGTAATAAAAGACATCAAAAATCAGCCCATCCAATTAGTTTTCAACCATGTATATCAAAGTTTCACAAAGCACTAGAAATGGCCTCCAGCCAACCAAAATAAGGAGATAACATTCTCTCCAGTTTACAACAAGGCTGGGTAATCAAAATATTTCAAAAGGGATCCTAAATGTGGCAATATACAGCTAGCCATACATATACAAAGGGCTAGAGGCCTAAAGGTAACTAAGCTCAAGCCTCTGCGTCTCTTCCCGACGGCACTCGCCTAGAACCTTCACCTAAAAACATTGTAAACCACGGGGTGAGACAAATGTCCCAGTAACCAACTTTTCCAATTCAAGGTACTACTAAATAGATGCTCGTGAGGTGTCAGGTGGGGCAGTTCACAAGTAATATTATAAATGATAGCCACAACAAGTAATGCAAGTACAATGATGAAATCCCATCAACCATAACCCCTCACTTTGGGGGATTTTCAAAAGCCGAAACTGGCCTATCCCTCACTATGGGGGACGTAAGGAGCCATAAAAAGCCTATCCCTCACTCTAGGGGATGTAGGGAGCCAAAAGGCCTATCCCTCACTATGGGGGACGTAAAGAGCCAACCATCATGCATTAATGGAGGCCTTACCACGTGGTAGTAACAATCAAAACTCTCACCAATTCCCAATTCATGCATCATGCTCAAACCATAATCAAAGAGCAAATAATCATTTCACAATTAACTTCTTTCAGTGACCTATCTTTCACAAGTTACAAATTCAATCAATATCAATTTAAACCCCACAAGACGGTTTTCCTTTTCAATATACAACATATACTTTGAACACAGTTGCTATTCAAAGCACAAAGCATAAATCCACTCACAGTACCACAAAAGCATGTACAAAGGATTGGAAAGTGGTTACCTCTCGAATAACAAACCGACAATATGGCCCCGTGCACCAACAAGGCTCACAACCGGTCTACGCAAGCACACAAACACACAACCACCATGTATTAGCTTTCAACTAATAATGTGGCCAAAACAACACTTGGGGACACAAAATTCCTAACTCCAACCAAACTCTACCCAACTCAAAAGGGTATAACCACCAAGGCAACATTCCAAGGTCATAAAAATCCATTAAAACCTTAATTCCTTTCCAAACATCAATTAAAATTCATAACCTCAAGGACCCACTATAGAAATTCAACACCCAAACATCCCATTTGAACAATTGAAGTCTTAACAACATTCTAAACCGATTAAACATCCAATTTAACCCTCCTTAACATAACCCAAATCACAAAACTCAAAATCAATCTCCACATTGTCATCCTCAATTACAAACCTCCCATTTCCATAAACCCTAATTTCAAAAACTCTAAGTTCTTCAAATCCAAGAAAATTACACCGATTAAATACTTAGACTAACTCAAAGCAATCAATTAAACTCAAAACAATCGGTCAAAAACCTCAATTCCATAACAACCTAGAAAACTCTAGGGTTTCACCATAAATCCTCCGAAATTCCAAGAAAGAAAGTAGATTAGAGGTTAAAATCACTTACTTGAGGTAATGGATCCTTAGAAACGTTCCCTCCAAGCCAAAACACTGAAACCCTAGCAGAGCTTCTCTCTCCTCCTTCAGATTTTCTAATTTTTGCAGAACCAGACCCTCTCGTGACTATATAGATTCGGCACCTTTCGCCGCGACGAACCCATAACTTCGCAGCGGTGAACTAATCCCGAGAGGGATTACTCGCCTGAAAACCTGACTTCGTCGCGGCAAAAGCTTCCCGAGAGGAAACTCTCGCTCGCCCAGAAAACCTTCACCGCGGCATACCCCTACCTTCGCCAGGCGAAATCTTCCCGAGAGGGAAGCCTTGCTCACCTGAGCAACTTCGCCGTGGCCAAACCTGCCTGAAAGACACTCCCCCCTGGAACCCCCGGTTCGCTGCGGCAAACATACCCTGAGAGGGGTCTATTCACCTATTCCTCCAACATACCTCAATTCCAACCCAAACACCAAGATCAACATTAAATCACTAATCTATCCTCAAAATCAACTAAAAAGAGGCTATTAAAACCCGATAAAACTCAGGATGTTACATTAAACAATTAGTACAGTAATCGTTTATTCTAATTAGCATAATAATATATTTTAAATAATCAAATTAACAAATTTACTTTATTTTTTAAAAAAAATTTGTTCTCTTTTGGCTATGCATTTTCTTCCTAGTTTAAAACATATTTCAATTAATAAAATAATATTTTTGTAAAAATTATTTAATTTATGATAATATAATTTTCCATTGTAATAATATTTTATTCTAAATTAATTTTTATTATAATATATTTTTAATTATAATAATTTGGATTTTTATTTATAATTATGTAATTTTTATTTGAAATTATTTTTATAATAATATATTTTTATTTTTTATGGGTATTAATGAAATATATAAAAAGTAAGAGGGTAAAATGATCTAAGATTTTGACTCCACTCCAAAAAATTCAAATTTAGAGGAGAGCTAAAATAGAGAAAGGTTAGTGAGGAGAGGGATGATTTTTACTTCCCTCCCCTCCTAAGTTTCTAACCAAATAAGTGGACGGGCTTATTTTCCCTCCCCTCCCCTCCAACCAAGCAGACCCTCAAAATTTTTTTAACTTATCTTGGATGATTGTTTGAACTTATCTTAGTTTTCATTTTCCTCTTTCTCTTCTCTTTTCCTTTAACTTAAGAGCAATATCTTTCCTCCCCTTACTTTTTTTGGGCCAAATTTCATGCTCTTGAAGGATATTTATAGACAATTTTTGGCTCTTGATTTCCTCATTTTGCCGTTGTGAAACATTAGAATTCCAATGGTCATTTGTCCCATTCATCAAGCCATCTTTTACATGATCATGCCAATTGTTATGGGAGAATAAGATAACTAGCCATGTGTCTATGCATATTTAACATGTGACTTGGGAGATAATATTTTATTCTTTTTCCAAGTTTTGTCCTTGACAAAAGGCATAACTCCAACCTTGTCCTCCTCTCACAAAAATGGCAACAAAATGCTTGAAAAATAGGAGGAAAAATTGTCCCACCAAGCTTTAGGTTATTCCACCGGGTAATTTTACCGTACCAATTAACTTTTTTTTGCATCCTATCTAATCTAGGAGCTTTGAAAACTTATTTCTCTATGCAAATAATTCTCTTTTATTGAGAGGGAATTCACTAATTTTTCTGAAGTCAAAATTCGATATGTAACTCCTTCTATTGGAAAATTTTCAAAATTGGCCTTCTATCGACATAATTCAGGTTTAAATATTTTCAAGGTCAATCTTCTCACTTTCAAGGGTTAGGAATAATTTTACAATCTGCAATAAACTCTCGACTAATTTTTTCCTTATTTTTATCTGAACAATCGAGGCCTCTGTATAATTGAAATAATTCGCTTTGGCTAATATTTTCCTGTTTAGCCGAAAAATAGTCATAATTATAGAAAATTCTTTGATAAATAAGTCTCATTCTGTTTTCATCTTTTGGGTCTCAAATATTTTTCTAGACACTTTACTTTATTTTTCATGGATTTTCAAGAATTTTGGACATAGTTTCTGATACTACCATTCTTTGATCGAAACTTTTCAAAATGATAGTTTGGTCCCTGTTTAAGTTTCACTTAAAAAGTTGTTTCATCTTTGTCTCTACTATTTTGTTTGACTCACAGTCAGTTCTGAATTCCTCATCCCTTAGGTTAAAATTTAGAGGATGTGATAATTTTTCCTTGAAAAATATATATATATATATATATATATATATATGTGAATACTACAAGTGAACCCAAACAAAAATAATTGCCCTTTATACAAGGGCAAATGATACTTTGTTTGCCTCTGTTTTTTTTTTCTTTTAATAAAGAAACAAAGATAAGCATCATAACAATAAAACAAGCTAATGACTTTGCCCCATCACATTATGCATAAAAAATCTTTTATTTATTAGCTTGGTTCCAACAACAATTGTGATTTGTGAAGCGTGCATCTATATTTTGATTTGTGGTTTGTTTTTACATCCAAGAATACCTATACAAATAGGTTCTTGGAGACATTCAATACATGATTCTCTTGCAAACATCTTCATCATACACTAAATAGACAAGTGTATTTTTCACTCTTAATTCACATGCAAAAGTGACTATAACCTCCACTCTATCACCAGGCTTCAAATTAAAAATTAAGTCTTGCCAATTATCTTCATCATTTGGACTAGTTGTTGCATCTTTTTGGTAGAATTTCATGGTGGCCTTTGTATGGTTTGATACCAAGATACCAACAGGATGAGATACAGATGTCATATTGTCTGGAGAAGACAAATAGATTATGCACAGAATCAATCCTTTCAAAGTTTTGCCAACAATTTGAGGAACTTCCAAGAATATTGAAGATCCTTCACCTTTAAAATTCTGCCAAAGAGGATAATTGTCTCCCGGAAGCGAATTAAGTCCAAAACCTCTTTCATTACATCCCTGAATCATAAACATAACAAAGAAGAACTCAATTAACCATTTACACAAAAAGGCATTTACATATATGTATATATATGGGAATTCAAACATAGATGATACAGGATAGCATTCACTCTTAAACATACACTACATTTGGTCCTTAATATAAGAGCTAATTGAAGGGTTCGGTTTAGTTTTAAATATAATTCCTCAATCTACTTCTCTCCAAAATTTATAGCTTTTTCTTGTAAAATATCTCTCTATTGTTTGCAAGGGATTCCCACCAAGAGATGGTTCCAATGTACATTATTAGAAAGGATAGTCTAAAAAATTCAAAACACATTTGTTATAATTAACCAACTTAAATAACTTTTTTAATCTCCTCAAATTGGTTATCTGGCTCTTATATTAAGGTACTATTTGGTATGAGGGAAATGGAGGGGAGGGGAGGGGAAGAAAAATTTTAATAAGCTCTATTTAAAAAATTGGAGAAGTGGAGTTTTGAAATTTTAAGAAAGAGAAGAAGTAATATAAAAGGATAATAAAAATTAATTAAAAAATTTTAACCCACTTTTTTAATTTTTCAAATCGAGCTTATTAAAATTTTTCCTCCTCTCCTCTCTTCTCATTTTTCCTCATACCAAACAAACCCTAAGGATCAGAGGTAGTATATTTTAAACACCAACTAAAATGTATACTTGAACTCCTTTATTGCTTAACTCAAAACAGTCGAGAATGAGGTGTGGAAATTAAATGATTTGGGTAGATCTATTTCCAAATTAATTAGAAGTAAACATTTCTAGATGATGCAGATACTCTACAAGCTAATATTTGAATATGTAGCGTAGTATGCTTTAAAACCTTATGAAACATGCATAAGCTATTCAAAATTACATATATCCTCATGTTGTCTACATATTGGACATTTGACACTATTTTGAAAATGATTGACACTTTCTAGATGCTTTTAAACACTTAAAAGCATAACTAACGTGAATTATTATGCATTTAGACATGCACAGACATTATTATAAGTGCATGCCTCCTGTACCCACACATGATATTAATAAAAGCATGCATTATATTGAACTTTTTAATTTAAACATGTATGAAAAAGGCATTCTTTCAAAACCTAAATAAACTAGGCATGGTGATAGTAGAGAGATGAAGAGAATAAACCTGTGAAATACTCTTTAAAAGTGTGTCAATTACATTGTTGAACTCGCCTACATGAATAATGATGGAACTCATGAATGTTTCTGATCTTTTTTCATGAATTTGCTCATGAAAACCAATCAATGCTGGAGTCCTTTTACGTGGAGCTTGAGATGTTCTTGATACTGCTTTAAATATTTCATGACGTTTGGCAAACAAAGGATGTGAAAGGCACTTGATTAATGATGGCATGATCCCAAATGCTTGAAACAAGGACTTTGAATGATTTCTTGGGGGAATCCATGAAAAAATAAGAGATGGAAATATATCACGCGACAATCCTTCATACCCACATAAAGAAACATATTTCATGTTCTTCAACCTCACTATTGAGTTGGGTACTTGTGTTATGGCAGTTTGATTTGCCACCAAAATCGATAAAGATTCCATTTTTTCAATGTCTTCATCCAACCTTTCAATTTTGGAGCAACCAAAAAGATTGAGAGTTCTCAAAGATTTCAAGTCATACATACTTCTTGGGAGATGCTTCAGACTATTGCAATTTTTTAAATTCAACATAATAAGATGTCTAAGATGTCCAATGGAGGGATGAATCATAGACAAATGTGAACAATCTTTAAGTATCAACTTCTCAAGATGTGGTAATTTGGAAAAGTCAGGTGTTTCTATTAGGCAATGAGAATGACTTAAATTGAGAATTTTCAACCATTCCAACACCTATATGAAAAGAGATTATATCAATATATGTAAATCCTGCTACTAATTTTTAATTGCAAAAGTAAATTACAAATACCTGGCTTTTCTCCCACACTTTTGTGAGATTACTCCACTTTAAGTCAATGGCAACTATCTTTTTCAGATTGAAGTTCGTTGGCAAGTTTTTTAAGGGAAATCTATGCCAACAAAGCCACTTCAATTCTTTTGATAGGTAACAATAATCTCCATTAAGTTGTACATTATCAAATTTGAGTAAACGAAGCATCTTCATCTTCTTAAATGCCTTGGTACTCAAGGATACTGAATTGTTTCTTGGCATGCTTAAAGACAACCCCTCAATCGTTATTGTTCCCTGTGAAATAGGAGAAAAGGGAAAAACAAAAACAATATAATCCATGATCAACAACTCAAGGAATGCATAATGAATGATGAAGAAAAAAGTATTAAGATTTAAATGAGAGAAAATTAGTAAATTGCACAATTAAGTTATTTAGAAACATTCTTACAATGTTGTTTTCCAAGACATTCAACACATCATCATTAAACCATAACCTTGCACGCTTCTCTGGCTCCTTCGGTGCTTGCTCACGAATGATTTCTCTTCCCATATCACGCAGTAGTTCATGCATATCAAGTACATTTTTGTTTCCCAATTGTACAACTTTTATAAGGCTTCGCTCAATTAGGTGGGTGATCCCAATTTCTGCATGAAGCCCACAACCATCTAATACTTGAGTAGCATAGCTTCTTTCCTTCCCGATAAAAAAACAACATATATCAAGGAACAACTCTTTCTCTATTTGGTCACTCAAACCATCATAGCTTAGTTTTAGGATTTCAAATATTTTACCATTTGGAATTTGTTTCAATTTATTCAAAGTGCTTTCCCAGTAAGGTACTTCTCTATCAAACAAATATGAGCCAAGGATTTCAAGAGCAAGTGGCAGCCCTCTACAGTATGATACTACACTTCTTGAAAGTTTGATGAATTTTTTTTTAGGAAACGCTTGCTTAAAAGCATGCCAACTGAAAAGCTCAATGGATTCATAATCTTCCATTCCTCTCACATTAAATACTTTATCCACTTGAAGGATTTGAAGCAAACGTTCATCTCTAGTAGTGATAATTATTCTACTACCTTGACCAAACCATTCACGATTTCCACATAAAACTTTGAGTTGGTCTTCATTATTCACATCATCTAATACAAGAAATACTCTTTTTTTACAAAGACTTTCCTTGATTAGAGTTTCTCCTGTTCCTACATTTGGTAGCTTGATCCTTCTTGTTTTTAAGAGGTTAGAAAGAAGTTGTTCTTGCAAATAAACTTGGCCATTATCTTGCTCCCATACTTTCCTAATATTTGCAAGGAAACTCTTTACCACAAAACTTTGGCCGATTTCATTATAAATAGCTTTAGCCACTGTGGTCTTGCCAATCCCTCCCATCCCCCAAATGCCTATTATGATAGTGTCATTTGATTCACTACTTAGCAATCGAATGATATCTTGCACGCGAGACTCCAAACCCACTGGATGGTGAGCAACAAACATGTATTTGGTGTTGTCTAGGCTCATTGTGATAGTTTCAACAACATTGTCAAGTAACTCAGCCTCAGTTCTGGCAATAACAAGAAATTAGCTGACCAGAATTCTATCAATAATCATTAAAAATTCATGGTAGAAAACCATAATAGCAATAAAATGATAGGCATGTAGAGTCAGCCAAAATAAGAGGCATGAATAATACATTGGAAAAGGACTAATTTTATTTCCAGTTTCATTATTCTTTCCCCATATGGTCTATATCATCACTGTTTAATTAGAATGTCAGTTAATTTTTCTTTTAAGATAACTAGATTATGAGTTCAACTTTTATGACCTAACTATAAAAAAGTTGAGTTAGAGTTTCATATATGGTACATTATTCTAGGCTATATACCATAAATCTTTATGCATATGTAGAATTTATTTTCACTTATCTGGGTACCTATATATAATTTTGTAATTTCATTGTAAATAATAGATAGACATATTTTATATATGAGAAAATCAACAATAAAGTAACTTTAAATGCTTTTTATTAATTAAACAAGTGCTATTATTTTATCCATTCATTTATTAAAAAAAATTTATCATCACACACATGATGACTAATATTAAGGTACGGTTTGGCAAAGAAAAGGAGAAAAGGTGGCTTTTTACAAGCTACCATGACTTTACAGCTTCCTTGCGTTCACATGATATGCTACCTTCGTTGACTTTTGGCCTTCATAAGCTACCTTTGTTAGATACAATTTCTTTTGTTACACTGGGAGGCTTTGAGTGATCCTCAAACTTTACTTACATCTTTCCATGTTTTTATTATCTAATCTTGCTAGCTCCATATAGCTTTGTTAATTAAATACTTTTTCTTGTACAGACTAGGATAGACTAGGAGGCTTTAAGTCTGGAAACTATACTCACACCTTGCTTCATCATTATCACATAAACTAGATTTGGGTGGCGTTGTTATAAATAAGTTTTTTTTTTTTTGCTCTATATTTTTTCAACTATTTTTTAATAAGTAATCTCAAGCTACGCATCTATAGTATACCAGATATTTTGTTCATGAAATATATCAGGATAACATTTTACTTTCATATTTTCTAGATGCCCAAATATTTGAGTCTGAATGCTTCAATATGTTTCCTAATTTTTTTAAAATAACCTCAAGCTACATTATGTTCAAGTGTAAGATAATGAAATGTAATTGTCTAAGCTAGTTTCTCTAGATTTATTAAGGTTCAAATTGGCAGTGGAAGTTTTTACTTAGGAGTATTGGGCTCTTGAAACTTTTTCTCTAGGAACAAATTTTCCCCAAAAGTTTGAAATCATGGCAATATTGCCCTTTATTAAAAATGTTAACAATCAATGTTACTATTTTAACAATCAATGTCAATTTTTTTTATAACAGAAATAATATTGCTATGATTTTAAACTTTTAGACCCAATTTGTTCCTAGAAAAACTTCAGGTACCTAACACTCTTGAGTAAAAATTTTTAAGCAAATTTGCACGTTAACCCTTTATTTAATGTTCATGGGTCATTAATTAGAGGTAGTACGTAAAAGTAGCTTATTAATCATGAATCTATCCATTCTACAAACAATTAACGAATTCAACACATTTATAGAAAAACAAACTTAAAGAATTTGACCATTTCAAATAACAAGTAAAAGAAGACAATAGTACCTGTAGTTTTGCATATCCCACCCTGATAAGTTAGCAGCCTCAACAAGGACTCTCTTCAAATTATTTGTCAATTGCTTGCCTTTACTACTTGAGGATCTTGCTGTAAGCCGTTCCCATGCTTTTCCAAAAGCATTTTGTTGTTTACGAACTTCAAACGGTTGCACATCATAGAATATTGGAAAAACCACTTGATTAGTTGTTCTGTAACACTCCATGATTTTCTCTAATTCTTGTAAGCACCAACTAGAGCCGGCATAATTCTTTGAGAATATAATGATTGAAATTCTTGAACATTCAATTGCCCGTAGCAATGAACCTGAAATATGTTCTCCCCTTGCAATCCCTTCTTCATCCATGAAGACCTCAATTCTTGCTTGTTTCAGAGCAGTATACAAATGAGTAGTAAATGATTTACGAGTATCCTCACCTCTAAAACTTAAGAATACATCATAGATATATGTGACCTTTGGCTCATTTGTAGTGATTCCCCTCCCTATCTCTTGTAGCAAATCATGCACATGAATCTTATCATTGACAAACTTTACAAGGTTACGCTCAATAAGTAATTGCATTTCCCTTTCTAGGGGAAATCTTGAGCCCTTAAACAAATGATGTACAACATCACTTTTGCTCCGACCGACATGAAAGTGTACTACATCAAAAAATAATTTTTTTTCTGAGTAAGGTAAAAAGTCGAGGCTTATTTTAAGCTTATGTTGTATTTGGTCACTTGGACTGTTTTCTAATGTATCCAATACTTTTTGCCACTTTGATTTTGTCTTATTATGCAAAAGAGAGCCTACAACTTCAAGAATCAATGGTAACCCACTACAACAACTAATTATTTTCCATGAAAGATTCACGAAATCAGTTCTTGGACTAAAGCTTTTAAATGCATGCCATCCAAAAAGCTGAAGAGAGTTACTGGGGCCCAACTTTTTCACTTCATATGATGTGTCAACAAAGTGACCAAGTAAACCCTTACTTCTTGTTGTAATGAAAATCAAATTCCCTTTACCAAACTGCTCTATATTTCCACACAGTTTACTGAATTGGCCTGCTTGATTTACATCATCAAGTACAATTAAGGCTGTGCTATGAAGTCCTTGCTTCATTTGATTCACTTGAATATCAGAAAGAAGTTGCTTTTGAAGAAGAAACTGACCATTATTCTCCCATACATTCTTGATATTAGGAAGAAAACTTTTGCACTTAAAGTGGCCACCAATTGTATCATAAATAGCTGTGGCAAGGGTGGTTTTACCAATACCTCCAGCCCCCCAAATTTCAACTATTATTGTAGTTTCTTTATGATGCCGCCATTGCCACCAGCCCAATTGTTGAAGCACTTCTTTCACACCATGTCCCACCCCTACTTGTGATATGGCTTTTGCAACAAGGTCACTAACTACTACTTGATCGCTGGCGGCAAATTGGAATTAGAATTCGATTAAAAATCAATGGAATTACGTGTTACAAAAAAAAGATATATTTTATATTCACATATATAAGAAATGTTAACCCCCTATATTAACAATTTCTATATAATTTGGTTAACCAAAACTCATACTTTTACTAACAAACTATAACATTAGGAGTTTCTGAATAGAGGCTAAAAGTGTGATTAAAGTTCAGCCAAGGACCAAATAAAATAGTAGACACCTTAGAGTAATATTATATATTTACTTACTGAGAAAAACATAATTTTTGAAAATCATAAGTATGCAAGGGTAATTTTGAAAGTAATGTCCAAAATTTTACGAAAATTCCCCAAAGAATCAGGAAGATAGAGAATAATTTTCCAAAATATACTTGAGGCTTAAGTGAGGTATAAGTGGAAAAATTACCTCAACAATGCATTTTAAATCATAATTATAATTTTGACTAAATAAAGGATAATTAGCTGAATTAATTGTGAAAAATTCCAAGAGGCCACAAATAATTGGACAAAAATAGTGGAAATTATTTAAGATTAAAATGAATTTATAGAATGGGTTTGATCCCCAAGAAATATAGAGTTTAGTTTGAAGAATATTTTAAGGGAATGTTACCCAAGAATAAGGCATTTTCTTGGAAATTTATGGGAAAAATAGTTAATGAACAAATTTGAGTTTGAAAAAAATTAGGGAATTACTCTCCTATAAATGTGAATTATTGATGGGTTCACATTGGTTATATGATCAAAGAAGTTTCCAAAAGCATTTGTGGAAGATTAATCTCGTATTAATCAGGAAATGAAAATGAGCTTGCATAATTAGACTTTGCGAAGGACAACCATAGCCTTCCACAAGTACGTACATTAGTTACATAGGTGGCAGTGGCATGATCTCGGTAGATGGAGAAAGGAAGAATGATTCTTAGCCATTTGATCTAACTAAATGAAGCATTAAAAATAATATTTACAAAGGAGGTGGATTTAAGATTTTTATCTAATTGAGTTAAATATTGGAGTAGAACATTAAAATTATGGGGACAAGCGTGTTAGGTTAATTTTAAGCCTACTATAGTAAAGGTGCAAGATACAGGGATTACGTTGTAAGAAGGGAAGTCTAGTTTTCCTAATGATATAATGCATGTAAAAATGGCTAGTTCTTGATGTACATTATATTGCATCATGTTGATGTTTAGCTTTTGATCTTTACCCAAGATCGACAAGAATCCAAATATCAAGTCAGGAAAAGCTAAAGGAAAAACAAGAGCGCAGCAAGGTAGCAAAGTCACTAACTACTCCAACATTAATTTTACATTAATTGATTGACAATAAGTATATGGGTTGAACAGGTAAATCCTTGCAATACGTTGTACCTTGCGTTGTGCCTAATTGATTGGGTTAGTATCATTGTAAGGTGTGTTCCAATGTCATGGTTGGTTTATGATTGCATAATGATAATCATCCATGTTGATGTTTTTCTTAGTGACTATTCATATTGCTAAAAAAAAAATTGACTTTCAACAATAATAAAAATTTAAAATAGACTTTCTATAGCGAAAAAAGAAAACCACCACTGAAACTAACTTTTCGTGGTAGCAAAAGAAAGTTGCTGCCAAAAATAACCTTTGGCTTTAACAAAAAATCGTCGCTGAAAATAACCTTTTAGTGACAACATGTTGAGTTGTTGATAAAAATGAAACATCCCAAATTTTGGGCCTCAAAGTACATAAAGAGCTTGTTTGGATTGACTTATAAGTAGCTTTTCAAACGTGATTTACGGAATACGAGGTAAGTATGTGAGGAGAGTTTTGTCTCGGCTTACGTGAACTTGCTTAAAAGCCCGTTTTGAATAGAGCTCCAAACAAGCTCAAAATAGCCTAGAATGGACAGGTTACTAGACTTCTTTTGAGAGGAGTCCCAAAAATTCCTTGAAAGGATAAAAAAATTCTCAAGGGACCAAATGCAAAGTAAAAGTTTTATAAGACTAAGGAACAAGGAAGATGGAGATTCTGATAAAATCTCGAGATCCAAGTATGAGACATGAAGATGATTATGGGTCAAAAGTTTTGTTAGATATCTTAATAAGATGATTCCTAAGGTTAAACCCTAGTAGAGACTAAATCATAATTTTGAAAAGTTTTGGGCTGGAATGGGTAAAGATGAAAAATATGCTTAAAATTTCAGAAAAATTTCACAAAATGAGAAATGAGGCATAACGACCTATTTGAGGTTAAAAATGACGAAAATACTCTTACAATGAGTTCAAAATATATATTTTTTGAATGCATTGATTTATATTTTGAATAACAGAGTATTGATGTTTAAAAAAAAAAAAAAAGCAAATTGTTAACCTCAATTTGAAAGTTGTTAAAATGTATTGTTGCAAGTTTTTAATCCAAAGCAGTTAATATCTATTAAAATGTAGTCAATACACATACAAGAGTTGTTAATAACTTGGAAGAGTGACTTATTATTTTTTAATCAAAAGTTGTCAATAAACAGACTTATATTTTTGTTTTTGGAGTTCATTAGCCATAGGACATTGGTAGCCCGATGATTATACTACATTTTCGGTTCACATTACCCAGAGGTGTTGGGATCAAATCCCACCCCCAGCTACTTTAAAAAAAAAAAAATTCCTCCCAAAAATAAAAAAAATCCCCGCCCGCAAATATTTTTTCCAAAAACAAGGGGTATTTTTGTTATTTTTTAATTTCAAAATGTCACTTTGGATTTACTTCCTTTCCTGTAATTTTGAAATATTAGATATCTAAATTAGGATTTCATCTATTCAGTTCTTTATCTGTCATTTTTCCTTTAGAAAATTTGAATTTGATTGGAGAAAATTCAAAGTGCAAATGAAATTCCAACGTGTTTAGTGAATTTGCTTAGGAAATTCAAATTTGCTTACATTATAGAAAACAATTTTAAAGCTTAACTTTGGCCATAATTTTCTCAATTTAAATCTAGAGTGGGCAAGCGAAATATCATTGGAAAGCTCTCCAACTCTAGTTTCTAATACAGTAAAACACATTTGAAACCTCTTCGTACTTTTGAATTTATGATTAAAATAGGAAGTAAAGAGCGGAAACTTTTGAGCTTCGATATTTGATGAATGTTCTTACAATATCTCCCAAAATATAAATGCTTTTGAAGTGAAATTTGTTTCATACAAAACTAGACTCAATAAGTTTTTAAATCTATCGGAATAAAAAAGATCTTACTGTAAAATAGATATGATTTTTGAAATGTGACGCCTGGCGAGAAACACATTCCTAACCTTTCTTAACTATTTTGATCATAGCTTCCAAAATACAAATTTTTTAAATTAGAGAGTCTCTTAATGATAAATTTGAAAATTTTCTTGTCAAATTCAATTTTACTTAGGAAATTTGAATTTTCTTACATTATACAAGACAACTTTCAAACTTAAATTCAAATAGACATAATTTTCTCAATTTAAATCCCAATTGGGAAAGTGATTTAAATTTTCTGAATCTAGTTTCTAACACAATTATACCCATTTAAAAGCTTTTTTCATTTTGAAAGATATGATCAAAACGGTGGGCAGAGGTCATAAACATTTTCTCACTAGGTTGAAAATCACATATATTTTATATGCAAATAGTTTATATATATATGTTATTGAAAATATTATTGAGCCTATTTTGATATGAAACAAGTTTTACTTAAGAATTATTTATAGTTTCTGATATATCATGAGAAGATTGATCAATATTCAAAGCTGAAACACTGTTTCCCTTTGTCACTCTTGTGATTATATCTTTCACAATGAGAAGATGTCTTTGAATGTGGCTTATTTCTTTATAAACTAAAATGGCGGAGTTTTATATAGTGATAGGTCATTTGCCCAATTTCACTTTAAATTGAAAAAGTTATGTCTATTCAAAGTTGAGTTTTAAACAATACAATTCAAAAGCAAATAACAATATTCACCACAATATTTTTTTTAGCAACATGAAACTGATGGCCATGGCAGAAACAGTAAACTGAAAAGGGCACTCTGTTTATCTCTGTGTTTTTTTTTTTTTAATAAAAACCATGTTGAAACACATGTTTTAACTTGATGATAACAAAACATCACAAGATTGATATCTTAAGCCATCTAAGGTTAAAGCA